CACGATAACGACAAGCTTATGGAAATTTTCTACCTAAAATTCAGTTTAATTGAACCACCAAGAGTCATGATATTACTGCAAAATAACGACTTTGAAAAGAAAAACGAAATATATTTTAACTGCATGTACCATATATACTTATATTGAGTATTTGATTATCAAAATTATATTTTTCTTCTCTTTATATGTTGTATAAATACGTGTCAAAATAACACTTTCGCATATTCATTTAGTTTGTTATAAAAAATTGTGAAAGAACAAGCACGATTTTTAGGTAATCTGATTCTCTGATTTCCTTAAATCATGTTAGAATCAATTCTAAGTGAAACATTCACTCTTGCGATTTCGAATGGCGATATTTTCATTGTCGCTTTGAGTAAAAATACTTTTCATTTGTCTTGAGAGAGATTTGTAAAAAATTTAAAGAGTTCTTTTTAAATTACTTGAGTGAAACTACTCGAAAAGTGTAGAATATCAATTGAATCACTCGAATTTGAATAATTGTTCACTCATATAAAGTGAATTCTCTACTCTGAATTGTCGGGTAAATATTTTCATTTGAAATTGAGGAGTGAATCTGATGTATTCCATCGTCAAAGGAACATATTCAATCGATCGAAACATTAGCTTAAATATTAGAATCAATTCTAAGTGAAACATTCACTCTTGCGATTTCGAGTGACGGTGTTTTGTCGCTTTGAGTAAAAATACTGCTACTTCTCATTCTTTTGGAGTGAGATTCCACTCCAAGAAATTTAGAGAATACACGGCGTGTACTTTTCTACGAGTAAGTGACCACGGGCAAAGGCGAAAGATTTCGAGCTTCCACTTCGCAGATCCGGGATCTCCTCATCGTGCAAGAAACGAGATGCAAACCGAAAAGAGAGTGGCGAAAGGTCAACAGAAGAAGATTAAGAACAAAGGCGGTTGCCGAGGTGGAGACGTTTAATCGTAAATCAATAAAATTAATGAATTAAATAAATAAATTAAAAATGTTTATACACATATTTATATATAATATATATATAATATAATATAAAACATAAATAGGGTCCCGAGACTGCTGGAGCACAGCGCGCATCCCTCGCTCCCCTGCCCCCACCCTCTCGTCACTTATGTCGTCGTCGTCATCGTCGTAGTAGTCGTCGTTGATGTCTCTGACGGATGAGAGATCTCGCGAGCTCTTAATTAGAACGAAACGGACTACTTCGCAACTATTCCCCTCCGCATATCCGTGCATCCTGAGAACGGAGGATGCCGTCGGATGATTATTTCTCGCGAAGCGATTCCTCTCTCGATCGACTCCGACACGCTCCTCATCGAGATATTCGTTCCTGTTCTCGTGATTTCCCATCTCTTTCCTGCCCTCCTCCCTTCCCTCCCTGTCTCTCTCTCCTTTTGTTATCTATCTTATACGTCTGTTTTTTTAGCTAGCCTAATGCGTTACACTATCGTATTTTACATTAAATCCTTTTTGCCCGGTGGTCTCTCCGCCATGACTCGTTCGCTAACACTCGGTCGATCTCCTCCTCTCTCAGACTCTTTCGCGTTACTTTTCTATCTGCCGCGGCATCAGGCGCGATACCTATTTTCCCGGATAATAACGTCGAGGTCGGAGCTTCGGCAACGTGGCTGCAACATCGTCGTTGGAGGCTGACGGTTTTCGGTGAAAAATTGATTTCCCCAGTTGCGGCGCTCTCGCCGGGATACCATCGTGCTCGGCTCATTCTCAATTATTGAACGTCGTGCAATCAATTATTACGTCGATGGTCTCGGCGATCATCGAGAATGTACCCAGCGATTTTTAATGTTGAACCGTCGGTTTCCCGAAGCGCCGTCCGAGATCTTACATCGGTCAGAGGGCGAGTACACGCGATGGCTGTTCTCTTCATAATTACGGATAGCAATGGTGGTCAAGGTGAAGCCTGAATTGGCTGAAACAAACTGAAGCGTGACTCCGTGACCTCCCAACAACGACACAAGTTTCCGCGGCCACGTAGCGCCTCATCCTCGACTTTTTTCACTTCGCGAGTCGCTTCTGAGCATCGAAGTTTGACAGTGCCGAAGATCGCTCGACCGAGACGCGTGCGCGAATCATTGCAGCTGCGAGAGAGAAGAACGTGACTTCGCCTTCGAGAGTAGGAGGGTGAGGACTCTTGGCATGATCCCCGACCGTCTTGAGGCGACGATTCCTGGTCGCGTCTGTCCTTGATCGAGACCCTGGGCTCTTTGGTATTGTTCTCCGCCGTGGAGACCCCGGAGAAGTGCGACACACACCATCTCCCCGGCGCGCTTCCATGTCGTTCTTCTCGATGGCGGCGCCGAGATTTTTCGAGGTCAAGCACCGCCATTCGAATTCATGATAGTCGCTCTCGAGCGCCCTTCCCCGACGCGATACGACCGTCGAAGAGAGAGCATCGGTAGTAAGTCGAGAAACCTATGTGTTCTGCTCTCCCCGTTTTTTCCCTCTTTCTTTTCCTTTCACACCGGCACACACTCATTTGCACATTCATGATCTTTCACAACGTCGCCCATTCTTTCTATCATTTCCATTCTCCCTCTCTCTCTTTTTCTCTCCCTTTCTTGCTTTCTCTGGTCGAAGAACTTTCCGCGGAAACGCGCAAGTCGAGCTGTGACATTCTCTAGAAGGAAAGTACTGGTAATAATGCTCGAAGAAGTAGAAAAACAGAAGAGGGAAGAGTGAGGACGTAAAGGGAGGAGACAGCGGAGAGAGAATAAAAGACAAAGAAGTGAAACAAGAGTAGTGCGAGGGGGAGGATAAACAGAAAAGAGGAAAAAGGGGAAGAAGACGTGAAGGTAATGATAGCTGTAGAAATCGAAGAAGGTACGAATGCCCGGTCCGAATTGTTTTGGAACCTGTCGCTCAAAAAAAAAAGAAAATAAAAATACGCAGGACCCGTCCTAATGCCCGAGATCGACGGAACCGAAATTCGTCATTTCTATCTCTCTCTCTCTCTCTCTCTCTCTCTCTCTCTCTCTCTCTCTCTCTGTTCCCTGTCTAAATCCGTCATCGTCTCCCTCATCTGTGGCTTCAATCCGTCTACTTTTCTCCGTTTGCACAATTTCCCTTCCCTCTTTAGTCGCGCGTTGGCCCTCTCACGACTGTTTCTCGTGGGCTCCAAGTACACCGTAAGGGTAGAAAAGGGTCTACTCATGTCAAAGGGCCCCGCGCGATTATCGCTAGCAGTAGTACGAGGTAGAGAGTCCCAGCTTGCAGGAAAAGGGTGCCCTACGCCGGTTATACACACTTCCGGTGCTGATGACGTCCTTCGTCTCGCACCGCAGACCCGTGAAGCCATCCGCGCATCTGCAACAGAAAGCCATCATGGCCGATGTTAAATATCAGGGAAACTTTTTGTTTCAATCGTTTTATACTTGGATTTCGTGAAAGCGCTAGGAACTTGGTCGATACGACATCCTGAGTAGATATTTATTTCATGATCCTACTAAGCTTTGTTTCAATAACAATATGTACAATAATATCAGGTGTATCCTCGATCAAAATTTCTAGTTGAGAAGTTAATATATTGGGACCCCTCAATATGGCTCTAACTTTATTCAATTATTACAATATTTTTATAAAATATACCATATTTTAGGATTACCTTCACTGAAAAATTAATATTCTTGTTTTTAGAAAAATCCTCTAAAATAGGCGCTAAGTATAAAATATTCTAAATATAAGATTTATTTCTCTTGTTTTGAGAGAAAATTCTGCACACAGAGAGAAGAGTTTCTCAAAACAAAAGGAATAAATCTTATATTTAGAATATTTTATACTTGGCGCCTATTTTAAAGGGTTTTTCTAAAAACAAGTATATTAATTTTTCAGTGTTACATTTACACAGTTTTATATATCGGGTTGATTTAATTTCTAGTTGGATGATTCTAATGTTCGACGGTATTAGCTGAAAAACTGCCAAGCTATTTGTATTTCGTAGACATTCGCAGGGAGAGAGAGAGAGAGAGAAAGTCTCGCAAACATTTGCAATTTTCTACGGAAATCATTGTCTGGAGATTAATTGTAATTACGTCGAATTAACTATCCGCCTTTTCTCCGCTCTTTCTCGCGCGCTTGGCTTCCCAAATATCTTGGATCTCCTCTTTAAGACGCGCCGCTTCTCACACTGACCAGATGTCTCCGTCGCAACGACATTTATTAGCTAGCCTCGGGATTTTTCTCCGAGCGAGAAATGCGAGTTTCTTAATTTAACTAAATGTATGCGTCGCATCAGAATTTGCTCGACGGCGTCGATCCCGAGAGCGCAGGGGACGACACCGCACGGGCGGTGAGACGACGGAATAGCGACGGGATTTTGAGGAGAGACAGGCCGATGTGTCGTTTCTTTGGAAAAATAATGTTATGCCGTCGTGGTGCGGCTATTTATAGGCCACGGTTAACTAACCACGACGAGACGCGCACGGACGTTCGCGCGTTCTCCCGCGCTTGTCCAAAGCCCGCCGCGGGATTATCCCTAATTTGGCACACGGGGTCAATTTCCACCTTAGCCGATTTCTACACTGAGAGAAAAGACTGGTAACTATAACAAACTGCATTTAGTTACAGAAATTCATTGAATTCTTAGTAACTAATACTAAATATGATAATAATTACCAAATATTTAATAGATTGGGAGTATGACGTAATTGCATTCACAGTAACATCAATTAAATAATTTAGTAATAGTTACTTAATGTTAAATATTTAATATGAAATATATTACAGTTATGAACAGATATTTGATAATTGTTATGAAATTGTTATATCCCATGTAATAAAAAATTCAGTAGGTACGAGTTCTATTTTGTTACCAGTATAAGTATGTTTTGTTGCAGCACAACAAAAAATTCATTCATT